TTTTTTTTTTTTTTTTTTTTTTTTTTCCCCCTCCCCTCTGTGCTAGGATCACACCCATGTTACTTTATATGTAGCCATCTGGTGAGGACAATCTCTTCCGTTTTGCCAAAATTACCCACAGCTGAGCCTTGGTTGCTTTGCTGCAACTTTTTTGCTCTTGCCTCTTTGAAATAGGAGCCTTCCCCAGCATGCCTTTGTTTCAGGAGACATTTTACATTCTCGCTAAGCTTGGGTAAGGCTCTTTTGGAAGCTACAGGCTGTTGCTGTTTCTCTTACACCTAGTAAGTAGTTGCTGCTTTTTATTTTTTGTTCTTTTTGAGCAAGCTAATGAACGCCCTTTCCATGTAGGGCTGATTTTATGCTCCCTTTGACCTTCATTTTCTTTTTCTTTCAAAAAGAAACCAAACATTTCTTTCTTAAGTATTTGCAAAGCACTTTGAAGGGGAAGGAGGGAGTCAGTTACTGTAATCCCTTGCTTTATTTCCACTAACAGAACTGTGCAATTCTCTCTGAGCTCCTACTATGTCTGAGAACAGCACGAGTATCTAGAGATAGCACAGAGATGTATACATCCAAACATCCATGCTGACCTCAGAGAATCAGACCGGAAGGTCTGTCAGCTGATGCCACCTTCTAAGCCATGACATGGTATGGAAGGCTGGCTCCTTGTTTTGTTGATCTCCTGGGACAGAAAATAGAAAAGAAAGCAGATTTTTTCTCAGAGAAAAGAAGCCTTAGGTTTACCCCTCCCATTGAAAATAAAGTGTTCTGCTTCTTCATCTATTTCCCTTTTCTTTTGCTCCTAAAGATGCAAAAAGTGTTGTTACAAATAGGAGAAAGTGTTTGGTTTCTTCTCTTCAGTATTAGACACTGCTGTGCATAACCCTCGTGTGACCTATACAGGCATAAACTGAGAGGTCAAAAGCTGGATGGCAAATAAGAGAAATGTGTAAGCAAGCAAAAGTAGAAGGCTGTTTTCTCTTTAGTGAGCATGTGGTTGTTTTTCAAGTTTTGACTAATTTAAATGTTTCCTACCAAATCAAACAAAAATGATACGCACATGAACACAAGCATAATAACTGCCACCTGGAAGTACTGTCATGCAGAAGTCTAGACCTGCCTGTACTTAAGGAAACAGTAGATTTTATTTTTTTGTTTATTTTTATGTCAAATGGGCAATTTCCTGTATGCATTAACTAAGTTAACTCCTAAATATGACTATCTTTATAGTTTCTACTCCTAAATCAGGAGTTTTCTTTACCTGATGCAGCAGTGTATGTGAGTTGTTTTTCATCTCTCTTGTGTAAGGATCTCATTAATCATTTAACTTTGGCTCTTAATGTTTGTCCTGTTTGTTAGTCCTCAAAGTACAGTGGATGAGATTTTGGCAGTTTACTGTACTGGTAGGAATTTGTAACTTTTGCATTACTGCATGGCATTCTTTTAAAGAAAGCAAGCTAATGTGACGTGATCAACAGTGTGTTCAAAAACTATACAAAAGTATCTGGATACAAAACATAAGGGCAGTTATAACTTAATATGCAAACTTTTAAGTTGTTCTGGTGACAAGCACCAAACACTCTTAAGTTACCTAACATGGAATAAATGCAATAAGCCAGCTACCGGCAGAGACCCACTGTGAGTCGTGTTCACTATTACAAAGTAAGATGATAGGTGTGAGAATATATTACTCCCCCAACTAAACAGAGCGTGAAGCGGAACTGGCAAAACTCAGTGCAAAGTGAACTTCAGCTTCTGGTGCTACTATTTTTACTGAAAGAGGCTCTGCTTCAGTTCCTCTTTTACTGGAGAAGGTGGCCACACTGCTGCCACGCAGCTATGCACTAAAACTTGAGACCCCAATATGTTTGTGGCACAGATGTTTTGTTTGTTTTAAAATGCACTGAAAAAACACAAAAACCATCGCAAAGTCTTATGAAAGTGTTGTGATGGTTGTAGTTGTACTGGACCCTCCCTAAATAAGACTGAATGCATTTAAAAGTATATTTTTTCCATATTGGCTGTGTCACTTTGTAGGTGTGACTGGCTCCTGTAAACTAATAGTTGGGAACGAAGCTTCAGGTGTTGGAGACTGAATTACACAAGTAATAGGACTGTAACAAGTGTAGGCTATTGGCATTTTGACAGATGTTAGTATATGTTAACTAACTTTAAGTACTGATAAGCAAGATCATGCTAAAGCAACACAAAGTGCATGCTGCTTAGGCACTCACAGGCTTTCCCAGGCAGACAGGGACCGTCCCATCTGGTCATCATTGTCTGCACACTTAGAGTTCAGGTGTGTTTCAGCACTGATTCAGTACCAGTTTCATGCAAAATATTTGCAGTGGAAAACAAAGACATGGATAGTCTGAGCAACTTCAGTGTTCTGTTCTTTATTATCAATGCCTATTGAAATCAGTAATGCAAAAATTGATGGGAAAGAAATACCTGAAAAGCTTTGAACTGAGATACTAATGTGAACATAAAATAGTTGAATGATACAGCAGAACTGGTCTAGGATACAAATTAAAGAGAACATAATGGTAAAGTATATCATATATGATTGTTTTATATGTACTCATGTACTCTGTTTGCTTAGGGTTAGGAGGGTGTGTTTGTAAAGGTGGAGAGTTAGTGACATGAAGCTAAAATCCTCAATGGGCTGTGCTTCCTGTGACTTCATTAGTCGCTTCACCTGTATACATGTTGCCATGATGAACATTTCATCACTGTTCCTAAGTCTGTAAAGTACAGCCAAACAGCCTGTTTCACACCTTCTGCATTGCCATTTTATGCTGCAGTGGAACTCCACTAAGATTAAAGCTGTCATAGATCAGGCTGTTTTTATATCCCTTACTAAAACAGTTTCTGTGAGTTGTATCAAGGTTGCATTCTTCAGTGTGACCTGTCAAATCTGAGTCAAGTCTGAGGAGCAATTGTCAAGGATAAAGTATTGATCATGGCAGTTATTGATGTCACTGGTATTAAGAAGTTCAGTTACAAAAAACTGGGTTTCAATCTACAGATGCCTTAGGGGACTCATCAGTTGATGAAGAGGAAAAAGCTAAGAAACTGCTTGTGTGCTTAGAAGTCTGCCTGTCTGAGATATCTGTGTAATTGAAATTATTTAACGTTTACTTAAAACTCACACTGCTTTTTAAGGACTGGCACTTTCTGAGATGCCTAACTTTTTTTTTAACTAGTGAATAGGGAGGTCAGGGGTGGAAATTGCATGACACTAGTTTTCTCAGGTCTGCAGAGAAGTCTGTGGTAGGGGAAAGGAAGTGAGCTGAAGCACCCTAAGTCCCAGTTTTAGCGCCTTAAGACAAGCTTTCTCTCTAATTAGGCATGTACGTGAGTAACTTGATGAGTAGGGGCCTTGGATTCTCCCAGTAAACCCCCTGTAGCATTGCTTCAGCTAGATAAGGGTAGTGATTTTGTTCTCCTACCTAGTCTGTTATTAGACAGTTTTTCAAAAACTAAGTCTTTTCTTTAAAAGGTTTAATCTACTAAAGACTCACCACAGCACTAGTACACATACACGGAAAACAAAATACAAGTTGTTTTTTCTTCCTACATAAAAGCTATTCTCCACCTGACCAAAAGCCGTGACTTGCTGCTTTCCACAGAGACTCAGTTGTCTTGCTAGAATGTCAGCTCTAAAGAGTAAAGAGTATGTCATGATTCCCAGTCATTACCTGAGAAAGGTGAAGTCTTAACCACTTTTACTCCAAAACTGCTGTCTTTCTGACAAGATACTCAACAAGCACAATGGGAGCAACAGCCAAGGTAGCAATGAGAACAGGAACCATCTCCGTATGCATTGAGTCACAGCTGTGGTGCTTTGCATGCATCTTCTGCTGTTGCAACCTGAAAAGAAAAATACATGTGCTATTTAAAAAAGAAAAAAAAAAGTCTAGATCAATTTGTTATACCTAGAGGTGAGAGTCAGCCTATGTATGAGAGACACTTTATGAAGAAAGTTTAATGTTGTTATGCATGAAGGTATAAGGTAACAAAGTAAATAATAATACTTGGTCTTTTTAACTGGAACTATTATCCTGAAAAAGGAAATTAGTAAAGTAATGGGCAGAGAGTTGTCTTTTTTTTCTTTTCTTTTTCCAGTAACTTGGTCCTGAGCATAAATACAGCCACAAATACATAGTGCCTATGAATTTTATTTAAGCAGAAATTTCATAATTGCAGATCTGAGCTCCACGTAATCTTTTAGCTCAAGGTAAATGCAAACCCACAAGAGGGCTTAAATCCCTTTTTCAGCTTCCTTCCCTATAAAGTGAGAATTGTAGCTGGTATTTATCTTCCTTCTAGAGTTAGTGAGAGTTTCCTTGAGCACTTAAGAAAGGAGGGGATTGTCTTGGAGCTATAAATCAGCCTCCATCATAACTAAAGCTGAGTGAGCTTCTGTGTTAGAGCTGAGCCTCATGACTCTCTAGTAAGAATCTTGATCTTCACCTGAACTTTACTCAACCTGGATGTTAGTTTCCCTCTGATCTGGAGCTTTCTGGGCCTACGTTTCAGGACTTAACAGCACCTCCTGGCTTCTAGAGCGGTGTGTGTACTGAGTGGACCCCAACTGCACCCTGAAATGAAGCTGAAGAGACAGACATGCACTGTCTCCTTTCCCCTTCCATGCTCTGGCCCCTGTGGGGAGAAACACTGTGCATATGGGCTGGAAGGGGGCTGCAGCATGTTCTGGTTGATGCCTGCCCCGGACAATTTGCAGATCAAGACCTTGTGTAATGGTGACTGATGGGCAGCAGCTACTCTGTTCAGACACGGCCAGTGTGAAATCAGTTGGGATCCAGATTTGAGCAAGGAACTACGCAAAAACCTGAAGTCATTCTTTGCTGCTATTACCTGCTAAGCCAAACTTTGAATCCAACTTTTGACTTTTCACATACAGGTTTAAAACCTGTGGTTCTTTCCCATCCCTTCTTCAGAAGAAAAAGTGCAACAGTAGACATGCTTTTTGCCAATTAAAAAAAAAAAAAAAAAGGGAAATGTGACTGATGCTGTGCTCAGATGCTGCAGCACACCCGCTGAAGCGGGTACTGATACCAGTGTCAAAGGTCTTTCTTCCCAGCTTTATACAAGTACCACGAAGCACCACATCTTTGCTGACAGTGTGCTTGTGTTAAATTATCTTGGAGCAGCTCATCTGTGGGATGCACTCAGTGTCCCTCAGGCTGCAATCAAGGGTGCCCCCTTATGGGCAGCACATCTGCGCCGGGCATGCTGGCGGGCCAAGCCTAGAGATGGAGATGATGATAGCATAATTTAGTGTGCATCCTGAGGAAAGGGAAGGTGGCAACAGGGAGATAACAAGCTGTTCCTGTCCATCCCTGCTCAAGCTGGCATTAAAATGATGGTTGAAAGGCCATTTCTTTATATTAGACTGCAAGGACAGGAAGTGTTATATTTATTGTACCTAAAGGAAAACAGTGTACTACAACAGTGATCTCAGTAACGATTGCTATAAAGCTGTTCCCTATTTTGTTTTGCTGAGGAGCTGATTAAACTGACAGAATAAAAAGTTCCAGTAAAACTTTTCAAGAAAAGAAAATTCTTTAATAACTACGCTTCTGTGAACAGAATGTTAAAGGTTTCTGGTATCGCTATAAATGTACATTTAAGAAAACAATCATTTAACAAAACATTTGCAAGCAATATGTAAATTAACTTACTTACATTGTTCCTCTGTTGATAATAAATCATTTTCCTGAAACACATTCAAAAGAAATATTATAACTTCACGGTGAACAACAGCCAGATGGGTTTTCTTCTCTTAACCCTCACCACCCCTTCCCTCCTGTGAGTCCCTGGACAGGCTGGTAAGCTCCTTCTGCCCCTCTTGCCTGGAAGCTGCTTAGAAACCGGCAGCTACATCTGGTAGTAGGATGGATATCATGCAATTTTAATGGCTGCGGTGTAAAATGGGTGCAGCTAATGAATTCCCTCAGGGTGACTGACCAACCAAGGTGGTGGAGTACTCTATGGACCTACAGTTACAGCATAATTTCAGCCAAAAGGGACATTAGCAGTTGTCTGGACCAACCTCCAGTGAAGAACAGAGTGAAGAACATCAGGTTGCTCAGGGCTGAGTTATTAATATCTCCATGGACAGATATTTCACTACACCACTGGGCCTCCTGTGGCAGTGAATTCTCTTTTTATTCTTCAGTACATGGGTACAAAATCGCGGTAACAAAATTAGTAAGCTGAGGTTTAAATGAAATTAAGTCTCCTAGACTTAATCAAAAAGGTGTAGGTCTGATCTTTCAGCTACTCTAATTAGGCACCTGTACAGTTATACCATAAAGCCTGTGGTCACAGGCTCACACAAAAAAGGCTGAAAAGGGAAATCTGAGAGTATTCAATAAAGTCTAAAGGTAGTACTTCTGGTTGCAAACTGGTTTCTGCCAGAAAAGGTTGTTATCAAGCATGGTGTTTAGTTCTTTTTTGTCCTTCAAAATCTTCCAATTCTGTAAATAAGTATTTAAATTTTCTATAAACATTATGAAAACTCAAGGGGATACATTTTTCCAATTTTCATGAGTGTTTGTTGGTTTTCAGTTGAAATGTCCGTGTTTGGTGATGGTTGTTAATGTAACTTGAAGTGTCAAGGTGCCGCTTTATGTTGGTTTTTGCCATGTGTGTCTTAGCCCTATGGGTGATGTGTCCTTTCATTTTGCACTGTGTACTGAGGGATATGCTACAGTTTTACTCTCTGCCATCTAAAGTAACTGTGTGGTACTTCCTGTTTCTCCAAGGGAGAAACAGGGAATCCACATCACCATTCACTTGCAGAAAAATGTAGACTTTTAGAAGAATTTAAGTACCAAAAGATACAGCTGCACCTAGCAGAAACTTCAAATCCATCTAGATGCCCAGCTGCCACTCTGCTTCCTCAGATCATTTTGCTGGTTCTGTCAGAAAAAGTATGAGGCAAGTTTCTCCTGATCTCTCATCTTTGGAGGTCATGAGGACCAAACTGAGAGAATAAGGGGAAAAAAACCCCAAAAATCTTCACTGTACTTTTGCAGAGACAAGTAAAGGAGTTGACATTCTAGTCTTAGTCAGCAGGAGACTTGCGTTTGTAGTTCATATGTATGCTAATGTACCATTACAAAAGTACCGGACTACACATCTGCAAACTCTAATCTCATTAGAGCTGAATTAAATTGCAACAATTACCTTGTATAGCTCAAAGCAGAGATGTGTTTCAATTCACACTGCATTATTTATTTGTTTACCAGCTAGCAAGTAACTGAGAACTTGCAGATTCTGGAAAGGCATTCATATCTTGCTAATCAAACCTGATTTCTACTATTACTATGCAATAAAACTTGAAATACGCTTGGGATAGTTTAGATCACTTCTCAACATTGTACATGGCAACATTTAAATTCTGTAGCAAGCTAGGGACCAGTTAAGAGGAAGGCTACGGGGCCTTAAAGATAAAAAGTATTTTTTTTCAAAGACAGCCGACTGTTTGCTAGCATTTCATCATGTTCTATTAGTATGCTTCTTCCCAACTTATTAAAGTGAAGAACTTGTACAAAATACAAAAACTTTTTTTTTTTTGGTGGTGGTGGTTTTATTTTTTGCCCCAACACATACTTAAAAGGTGTGATTATCTGTATCAGCCCACCTGTGCTAGAATTTGGATGTGGCAGTGGTTAAAAAATGGAAATGAAGTTCTTAGCTTTATTTTGGATACGGCACAGCCAAATGAATCCTGGCATCTCCAGACTGCCCTCTTTAACCTCTGTTTGCTGTCTTTCTCCACTATGGCGGTGGCCATGGATTGGTGATGAGGGCTGCCCTGTACTAGGTGGCTGTGCCACACGGGGCAAAGACCAGGGCAGCAGGTGAAGGCTGGTCACAACTAGGCAGCTAGGGAGGGCTTTCTCCCTAGGGTCCAGAAGAACCGGGCAGGAGGGCTTAAGGAAAGTACAATGAGATGCTGGTACCTGGGTGCTGCAGTTCATGGTGCAGGGGTTGGGAGAATGAAGAACAACAGTAGCGTATATGTGGACAAATACAATGGGTAGAGACAAATACTACACAAGAGCATAGTGCTGTGGGTGTAGGAACCCCGAGGAACCCTGGCCAAGAAGGATGGATAGACTGGACAGGATGGGGGGCTACTGCATGGCATGGGAGCAAGGGAGAATGTTGTGGGTGCTGGCAACAGGGAAAGGACAGCGGAGACCTGTTTTAATGTCTAGACAGACTAAGCTGTCAAAATTTCATTCGGCCCCCAGGAACAGCATAATTAAAGGTTTCAGATACAGCTAAGGACTGCAACATCAGTGTATACTGGATGAACAGTGAATGTATGGCCATAGTCATGACCTTGCCCTTGCCAGTGTCCCCTCAGTAGTTGTAAACAGGGACCTGGCAAGAAAGTGTTTGCTATAAATGGAAAAACTCCTGTCTAAACATAGCATCTGTGGGCAGCAGACAGGGATAAAGGCTAGATACCATTTGTTCAGTCAGGGCCTCTCTTCTGGCTGCTGAGTAAAAAGTACTTGTTAATGAGGTGTAAACTAACGTTATCCACCAAAAACTGTGTGGAACAGGACAAGAAAATAATGCTGGCTTAAAAGGAGGGCTTTTATGTGAGTGGAAGCATTATTTTCTTGTCACAGTTCAGGTAAATCCTAGTTTATTTACACAGGGGTGAAATACAAGCTTCAGAGCAGACAAACAGATGTCCTGATGTACGCTTTAATTTCCTCAGTTGGATGACTGAACTTTGTTGTGGTTGGTTTTTTTTAAAATCTTGAAAAAGCAGTAATTTTTCTAAATACATTTATCATTATCATTG